GTATTATTCATAATCCTTAAGCTGTAGAAGCAACTCAAGTGCCCATTAACTGATGAGTGGATAAAAAAGCAGTGGAATATTATTACTCATCCATAAAAAAGAATGAAATCCTGCCATTTGTGAGAGAATAGTTGGACCTAGAGGGTATAATGTTAGTGAAATAAATTTAAACTCCCCTCCTCCCAGTTCCCGCCCCACCCTCCGCCCTCACTCCCCACCCACTGTCCTCATCCATAGGTGCACGATTTGAAATGAATAAAAAAATTTTTTTAAAGTAAGGTAGAAACAGTGCATATGATGAGTTACTATTGGGTTAACAAAGAAGAAAGAAGAGAGTAAGTATTTATACTCATGCATGCTGGAATATCTCAAGACGAATTCAGAAGAAGCACCTCTGGGACATCAGTGGGAGACAAGCCTTGCGCAGTGTGTACTATTGAACAAGTAGATTCTAGACACATACACCTGTGTAAATATAGAGCAATAGGGTGTTAATGCTGAAGGGATTGAGAGATTATTTGGACCACCTCATTTTAAAACTGGGAAAGCTAGAGAGAGAGAGATCTCCCCCTCCTCCAGCTTGTGTGGCTGATTGGTGTAAGAGGCAGAACTGGAACCCAAGTCTCCTGGCTGCCCTTTTCTATGAAGTAGAGAGCACATAACTGCGGTTTAAACTTTGACATCTTTTTTTTTTTTTAATTTCTTTATTGGTTAAGGTATTACAAATGTGTCCTCATCCCCCCATTAACCCCCCCCACACACACACACACTCATACTCTCATCCCCCTGTTGTCCGTGTCCATTGGTTTGGCTTATATGCATGCATACAAGTCCTTTGGTTGATCTCTTCCCCTTACCCCCACCCTCCCCTAAACTTTGACATCTTGAATAACATTGAAATGCAGTTAACGTGTTGATGCTACTTTGGGGACACAGTACCTGCCTTTTTACAGTCTATTCTTATCATTCTAATACTGTGTGTGGGGAAATAATGTAGTTTATGAGTATCAGGAATGCTGTTGCTGTAGCTCTGTTTTAATGACCTCCAGAAATGTGAGTGTTCTAAATATTTCATTCACTCCATTTGGCTTTCAGAAATTTCCTAAGGAATAATGCTTGGCATTCTTCTTGGTCAATTATAAGTCTTATGTGCTTGTTCTAAAATATTCACGCTATACACAAGGTTTTAAAGTGAAGTGCCTCCTCCTCCTCAGTGCTGCCAATTGTACTGTACAGAAGAAATTATTATTTCTTATACATGAATGCTTTCAGATGGACATTATTTATTTTTAAATGTATTTTTATTCATTTCAGAGAGGAAGGGAGAGAGAGCGATAGAAACATTAATGAGCTTGGCCAGTGTAGCTCAGTGGTTGAGCATCAACCTATGAACCAGGAGGTTGAGGTTTGATTCCCAATCAGGGCACATGCCAGGTTTCGGTCTGGATCCCCAGTGTGGGGTGTGCAGGAGGCAACCAATCGATGATTCTCTCTCATCATTGATGTTTTTATCTCTCTCTCACCCTCTCCCTTCCTCTCTGAAATCAATAAAAATAATATATTTTTATTGCCATTTTCCTCCTCAAAACCAGGGGGGATTCCCAGTTGCCATAACTCTTTGGTACGCTCACCATATGAACTTTTTTTTTTTTTCAATCCTCACCTGAGGATATTTTTTCCATTGATTTTTAGAGAGAGTGGAAGGAGGGCATGTGCCCCAACTGAGGCCAGGGATCAAACCTGCAACCTAGGTAAGCGCCCTTGAATGGGGATTGAACCGGCAACCCTTTGGTCTGCAGGCTGATGCTCTAACCACTGAACAACCAGCCAGGGCGCCATATGGACTTTTTTTTTAAGTAATAAATGCAGTTTTAATTGATCTATAGATGAAAACTACTCCACAAGGTGAGTAACCATTTCCGCTCCTTAATGTTAGAGCCGTATCCTGGACAGTATTCAGGAAAAAAGTTAATTTCATTATTTCACTTCATCCGTGATATTAGAAAAACAAGGCATGATTATCAGTTTAGATGACTAAAAAGAAACTTGTGATTCAGGCCATTTTCCTCCTTAAAACCAGGGGCGATTCCCAGTTGCCATAACTCTTTGGTACGCTCACCATATGAACTTTTTTTTTTTTCAATCCTCACCTGAGGATATTTTTTCCATTGATTTTTAGAGAGAGTGGAAGGAGGGCATGTGCCCCAACTGAGGCCAGGGATCAAACCTGCAACCGAGGTAAGCGCCCTTGAATGGGGATTGAACCGGCAACCCTTTGGTCTGCAGGCTGATGCTCTAACCACTGAACAACCAGCCAGGGCGCCATATGGACTTTTTTTTTTTTAAGTAATAAATGCAGTTTTAATTGATCTATAGATGAAAACTACTCCACAAGGTGAGTAACCATTTCCGCTCCTTAATGTTAGAGCCGTATCCTGGACAGTATTCAGGAAAAAAGTTAATTTCATTATTTCACTTCATCCGTGGTATTACAAAAACAAGGCATGATTATCAGTTTAGATGACATGCATGGCTGGCAGCCAAACCCAGTCCCTATATTCCATATTTTTTCTTTAGTTCTTCTACTTGGTTGATGTACACTTTCATGGCGTCTTCCTTGGACGTCCCTTTCAGCTCATTCCAGGCATCCCACTTGGCCTTGCCTTTGAGGTCCAACATCCCAGGCCGCTCTGTATCTATGTCACCCACAGTTGCTTGTTTGTAGCGGTTGTAGATGAATAGCATCTCTTCGTCTGCTGGCTGGGTCTTGAGGTGCTTAACATCCTCAGCAGCTTTGTCGAACTCAGCCTGAGACATGCTGGTGGGGTAGGTGCAAGGACTGCAGGAGCTGGCGAAGGCGGCGAGGAGCTGGGAGAAGTAGCGCAAGACGTGTCTCCATATGGACTTTGTATACTGATCTCAATCTAATTTATCAGCCTCCTCTGTTGCCCTCTTCCTCCTTTCCATCATGCACCCCACACCATAGCAAACTACTTGAGTTTCTCAGCATCTCCTGGGTACCGTTTCTGCATCTCTTTACTATTGCAGTGGCCTTTGCCCTTTTTTTCTGGACTCAAATTCCTCCTCTACGCCCAGCTAAAATGTTCCCTCTTGAAAAGTGTTCTGGGACCCTCTCAGTATCTGCTTTCCTCCACATTAGTTCTTATCAACATGATGTTTTGGCTTCTCAGGCCCTTCCTTAGCCCACTTGGCCTTGCCTTTGAGGTCCCACATCCCAGGCCGCTCTGTATCTATGTCACCCACAGTTGCTTGTTTGTAGCGGTTGTAGATGAATAGCATCTCATCGTCTGCTGGCTGGGTCTTGAGGTGCTTAACATCCTCAGCAGCTTTGTCGAACTCAGCCTGAGACATGCTGGTGGGGTAGGTGCAAGGACTGCAGGAGCTGGCGAAGGCGGCGAGGAGCTGGGAGAAGTAGCGCAAGACGTGTCTCCATATGGACTTTGTATACTGATCTCAATCTAATTTATCAGCCTCCTCTGTTGCCCTCTTCCTCCTTTCCATCATGCACCCCACACCATAGCAAACTACTTGAGTTTCTCAGCATCTCCTGGGTACCGTTTCTGCATCTCTTTACTATTGCAGTGGCCTTTGCCCTTTTTTTCTGGACTCAAATTCCTCCTCTACGCCCAGCTAAAATGTTCCCTCTTGAAAAGTGTTCTGGGACCCTCTCAGTATCTGCTTTCCTCCACATTAGTTCTTATCAACATGATGTTTTGGCTTCTCAGGCCCTTCCTTAGATCAAGGGCTAGAAAACTTTTCCTATAAAGGACCAGAGTAGACCTTTTTGGCTTTGTGGGCCACATGATCTCTACCACAACTGCTCAGCTTTGCCATTGTAGCTTGAAAGCAGCCACACACTGTAGTATATGAATGAGTTTAGTCATGTTTCAATAAACTTTACTTTTGGCCCTGAAATTTGAATTTCATATAAATTCACATGTCAAAGTATTCTTTTCTTTTTTTTTTTTTTACTCTTTTCAACCTTTTGAAAGACTATTCTTGGGTCATGGGCCATACAAAAACAGGTGGTAAGCTAGATTTGGTCTGTGGACCACAGTTTCCAGTCCTTGCATTAGACAGTGGGCTGTTCAAGGGCAAACTTTATATATTTTTGTATATCTCTGCCCCCCACACTCACCTCCATGCCTTAGTTCATTTCTCAGCAAATAATGACTGGACAGCAGTTGTTTATGGAATAAATGCTCAAGTAAGGAATTACCTAAAATATGGTAGTTTCTAAACAAATGTGAAAAATAATAGAGCTTCATATTGAGAATTAGTAATCTTTTTTTGTTTGTCTTGTTAATCCTCACCCGAGGATATATTTCCATTAAATTTTTTTTTTTTTTTTAGAGTGAGAGAGTGGAAGTGAGGGGGAGAGACAGAGAGAAACATTGATGTGATAGAGACACATCAATTGGTTGCCTCCCGTGCCCCAACTGGCGCTGGGGATTGAGCCTGCAATTGAGGTATGTGCTCTTGAGTGGAATTGAACCTGGGACCCTTCAGTCTGAGGGCCGATGCTCTATTCGTTGAGCCAAACCGGCTAGGGCTAGTAGTCATTTTAAAAATATATATATTTTTATTGATTTCAGAGAGGAATGGAGCGGGGGAGAGAGATAGAAAAATCAATGATGAGAGAGAGTCATTGATTGCCTGCCTCCTGCACACACCTTACTGGGGACCAAGCCCACAAACCAGGCATGTGCCCTGACCGGGAACCATGACCTCCTGGTTCATAGGTCCATGCTCAACCACTGAGCCACACCAGCCAGGCTGGTAGTCATTTATATATATATATGTTAATAAACATTCTCAGAAAAGAGTGTAAAAAGGTTGCATAATACAGAGGAGTACCCCTCTATGTATATGACAACTCTGCCAGGAAAGATCTAGTAAATAAGCAAGTAACTCTGCACATGGGAGAGGACATTGAAAAGTGCTCCAAATCCTTGATTTGAAGCAAAGATTATCAGTGGTTCTCAACCTGTGGGTCGCGACCCCTTTGGCGGTCGAACGACCCTTTCACAGGAGTCGCCTAAGACCATCCTGCATATCAGATATTTACATTACGATTCATAACAGTAGCAACATTACAGTTATGAAGTAGCAACGAAAATAATTTTATGGTTGGGTCACAACATGAGGAACTGTATTTAAAGGGCCAGAAGGTTGAGAACCACTGGATTAGATGAAAATGCCTTTCCACCTGGCCTGAAGAAAACAGTGTCGTGGCTTTTACCCAATGGCAGTTATGTTTTCAGAGGGTGTTTCGTGTGGGTTTAGCTACGTCATGGACCCAGTCAGGCATGTAGACCGTGGTTTGAACCCTTTCTGTGCCCTTAGCCACATCACCAAATCATCTAAGGCTCACTTTCCTCATTTCTATAATGGCGAGAATTATATAATACCTGGCTTGCATGGTTGTTTGAAAAGTAGAGAGTGCAGTGAAAATAGAATATGTAAAAAGCCAGCACATGGCTTAACGTGGGCACTGAATAAATACTCCTGTGGCTGTAATTATCCCTGTATTTCCCCTTGGTATTAGTCTGTTTTCTTTCTGTATTTACAAGAGTTGTGGGAGGGGGCTAAGGTTTATAAGAACACATTCGATGTTCCAGTAAGTTACAGTCAAACAGTATACTTTCAATCTTTGTTTTTATTTTTATATAACCTGCAAATATAGTCAAGTTTACTGGTTTCTTTAGTCTTCTTTTTAGAAATAAAAAAGTCATTGAATACCAAGCCACATAAAGTGTGCTTATTTTAATATTTAGACATTTATTTGAAAAGACAGAGCAGGACACTCTCATTAGGAAGTCTAGTACTATACTCCATACCCTTGGACTCATACTGAAGAACGATATCTGTGTATAATAGTTTGTGTGTGTTAAACCTTTTCATATTGCTCTTAAAATACTTGTTGCTTCCAAAGTAAAAATTATTAGAATATCTATTCACAGCACAGATACAGTGTTTCTTTGGACTAGGCAGGGAATTTCCTTTTTTGTTAAATAAACAACCTGATTAAAGTGAAGGGCTGTTTATGAGGAGTTTTGTAAACTGTTTATGTCTGCTTGTTCCTCCTTGTAGCAGTATTTGAGCTCCTGTGTAGGAAAAAAAGTAGCTAAGGGGTAAAATGGCTTTAAAACTCTAGGAACTGAAACTACTAATACTTGGCCCTGTGATAATTCACTGGTTTAATTTGAAAGGTTATTTCACCTCCTACTCAGCTTTACTCTTCTTTTAAACATAGGATCATTATGCATAAGAACTGTGGCAGCTGTCTGTAAAAAAAAAAGAAACTCTTATTTATCTGGAATCCAAGCAAGTACAGATAATACTTATCTAACCTTCAATTCTGAATGATAGCTTTGCTGGATAAAGTAATCTTGGTTGTAGGTTCTTGGTATTCATCACTTTGAATATTTCTTGCCACTCCCTTCTGGCCTGCAAAGTTTCTGTTGAGAAATCAGCTGACAGTCATATGGGTA